ATGCCTTACACCTGATCCCTTTGACACCTCGTGGTTGCATAGGCTGGTGTGCTTCTTCCATGTGGGCTTTGTTGCTTCTTTTTGATTGAGGTTTTTAAAAAAATTCTCTTTTAATTTGTTATGCTTGTTCATTTTAAAACATATATTTCTCTATGTGAAATCCATGATAGGCAAATCTATCGAGACAGTAAATAAACCTGAAACAACTTTTAAGATGGGTCCAAAGAGAGATCAAATGACAAGATCTTACATTTTAACCCAGTTATGTCTGCCATAATTGACTTTGCAGTGCTCTCTGTCTGATAACCAGGCCACTCACCCCCTCGCTATGGTCAGAGGGAATTCACCCGAGGCTTCATCTATGTGCAGACCCAGGAGATAGACGGCATTCAAATTCAAAGTCTAGTTTGGGGCCAGCTCCCAACTTGGAGCTCCTAGTCTGCATCTCCCTCTCTGAAGTCACTCCAAGCATCTCTCTCAAACTACTCTTGGCTCAAAGTCTACTTATGACAAGGTCCCCAGGCTCAGGTAACAACGTGTTCACTTAAATTTTGTTTAGTAAATATCTTCCTAGTGAAAGGATGTTTCCTTTAGTGACAGGCAGGCTGACTTAGGAAGCTAGCCAAACAGGCCCTGGTAAGAGTCAAGAAAGCCAGAGACCATCCATTGCCCCTCGCAGCCCAGGGAGAACCACGTGCATTCACACAGAGGACTGGATGTCACGTCTCAGCAGTGAGTGTAGAAGGGAAAGAACGTGGTTGGATTACCTTACACATTTTATAAAGATGGATTTCAAAAACGTTCTTTCTAAGGTGCTTTATGGAATGGTTTGGGATGGGCTTGATGGAATGTAGAGACGGTCAAAGATTTATATTAAATCGAGAAAACTAGTCAGCATGCCTCTCAGATGGTCCAGGTGTCACCACACATGACAAGTATATGGGGCTGACATCTTCTACGATGACAGAGCAAGATTGGAGAGTGACATTGTCAACCACCATAAAACGGGTACTGTGGCCAAGAACTGTTTGTGCCCATGAACGTGGCTAACAGAGACAACTGCAAGCAACCCATAAGGGCAGTAGTGGTGAGACTAATAGAAGCTGATCAAGATCCAGACTAGCGATGAGGGGATAGGAAGATGTTCGCAGCAAAGGAGGCTTGAGCTGGGCTTGGGAGAAGGGGAACTGGAATTCAGAACCAGGAGGAGAAGAGATCTCCAGGGTCAGTGAACAGCATTGGCAACAACACAGAGGTGGGAATGTAACCTTCTTCTACCACGACAGTAATCCAGGTTCCTCATTGCCAACAAATGAATTCTGAAGTGCTAACTTAGCCCAGTCCGTTTTTCGACAACATAAGAGGCTATTCTACACATGGACTCCTCCAGATGGAACATGCAGAAATCAAATTGACCCTGTCAGTGGGAAGGAATGGATGAAGATGCTCAATCTCAGCAGCTAAAACCAGGCCAGGAACTCACTGTGGAACAGACCACCAATTGCTCCTATGTAAATTCAGATTAAGGCAGAAGAAAATTAAACCAAGTCCACAAGAGCAAAAATATGACCTGGAGTCTCCCCAATCAGAATGTTGAGAACGTCTCAAGAAGAGCTACGACGCTTGAACGCTAACGACAGAAGGCCTGATGAGCTGCAGGCAGGCATCGAGACGGCATTCCAGAGGAAAGCAAAAGGTCATTAAAAAGACAGGAAGGGGGGAAAAGGGATAAAAATGGATGTCATAAAAGACTCTGAAACTTGCTTTCAATCGTAGAGCAGATAAAGCAAATGGAAGAAATGATAAAGTCAGAGTTAAGCAGAAATTTTCAAAGGGTGGCCCTAGAAGACAAAGTCAAATATGATCTTGAAATGTGCAAAGATCTATAGCTAGAAAACGAAAAAGGAAGAACACACTCACCAATCTTAAACTGAAAGAAGTCAGGAAAATATTTAAGCCTCGAGTTGCAGTCTTGAAAGATCCTATGGGCAAAAC